ATAACATTAAAAGAAAATTTTATTGAAATTTTATATAACAGTATATTTTTATCCACCGTATTACATAAGGAGCGTATTGTCATGGTATCGAATTTATCCAGTTGTGTTTTCAATATGAAATTTGAAATGTGATTTTATTTTGAAGATGAGGTGAATTGACCAACATTTATTATACATCAAAACTCAGTAACTACATAAACTACTTTACATTTCTAAATATTTCTGAAAAAATAATTAAAATATTTTCTTAAGTAATTAACTTTTTAAAATTTAATACCCGAATTTCTGATCAAAATTAGATTCTTCGGAAAAATCGGACTCTAAAGAACTAAATTTTCGCAGGCATATTTAAACAAAGCTATACTAGATTTATTTAAAATTTTAAGATATTTAGTTGTCTTAAAATTTGAAATAGGTGCTTAATCACAATCTTGTGCAATACTTTAACTAAACTATTATAAAACAATTTCATTATTATTCACAAATTTTTATTATTCACAAAATGCGGTCGGTTATGTGCTGATTATGGACCTATATATGTATAGTTGTGTATACACATATTGGAATAGTATATAACAAAAACCAAAATCGTACATATTATAGCAAAACTTATTAAATTGAAATTTATTCAAGTTGATTTTACCAAAAGGATAATGAACTATTTTTGAATTTTTCGGAAAAAATATTTAGTTTATACATAATTATCTATATAAGTGCTTTTGCATTTTTCTACCCATATACTGTTATTTAAAACAACAGCACTGTGGAGCATATATGAAAATCAATTCATAAATGTAAATGTAGATCATATACGGGTATGTATAACGTAACACTTAAAGTTGTTTGTGATTTTAATTAAAAATACTAAAATTCAATAAAGAATTAATGTATAAAATAATTTACAGTATAAATTTATTTACCAGGAACAAATTTTAAGCTACTTCATATATACACCTAATTACTTTAAATGCATGAAAATTGTTTAATACGAGTACTAAAGAGAAAAATTTTTCACAAAAATAACGATTACAAAAATTTTGTCGAAATTTATTTTTCAAAATTTCCAAAGAAGAATTCGATCCATAATTGGCTGAATTTTATATTCTTAGAATGAAAACAATTATTTTCTATAACGCTTAGCAATTTAGATCACTACATTATTCCAGAGAATTACAAATTTATTTAAATTTTTAACATTATTGCAAAAAGCTGTACGAGTACTTATTTTCCGCTTATTTTTCTGACGAATATTTACAAGAAAATTATCTCCTTTCTTTCATAATTTCATAGCGATTTCTTATCGAGTCAAATCACTGTAGTATTTATAACACTCAAATTTAGTTGATTGTTGAGTTGTACAGTTAATGCAGTATTTTCCAAATTAATATTTCAGGACATATATAAATTTACAGGTTCATCATTGTCCATGTTTTTTTTTGTGTCAAACTAATAAAATCACATATAATTGTTCAACCAGAAAATCACTTTGATTATTTTGAAAACAAAAATAATTATTAAAAAACAACTGAAAATAATCAAATTTTTAATAACTAAAGAGTTAAACACCCAACGTGCGGATAAACTCAACAAATAGTAACAATAAAAAAAAATTTTAAATTCCACTAGTATTAAAATAAAAAAAAATTCAAAGAGTGCTGCAAGAATTACAAAGTTATTTTAGTATTTTGTGTAACATGTACCGTGTTTACTAAAAAATAAACCTTATAACGCCAATGCTTTTTTTTTGTTATTTAAGGAAAAAATTGTCTTATATCTTGTTTGGATTCTTGTCTGTTCAACAGAAAAAGTTTTGTCATTAAATTTTTTATATTCGATTTGTAATGCAATTTTTGGATACGTACTTTAGACACAAATTTTCATTAAACATTTTCCGAAACATTTTCCGGTTAGAATGAAAATTGTGTTAAATATTTGTCAACAATACTGTCTTTTTTTTTAAATTCTTAAACACTGAATAGATGATGATCGAATTGTTATTCGTATATTTGAACTAGCTAATTAAATTAATTATATAAGTGCATACAAGTGGTCCATTAAATTATTGAATTTCCAGTTAAATGTTGCTGAAATTTATACAAAATATCTAATACCACACAAAATTATGTTTTACAATATTACATTAACTTTTAAAATTTTCAATATTAACCATAAATAAAATTTATGCAAATTAAAAATCTATTCGAATATTGTATGATCTTGTTTCCATCATGGACACATTCTTCCTCGCTACCACTTGAAAGGGCCGAGCCATAAAAGAAAAAAAAATTCAACAATTTTATAAGGCAATTCTCTCAACGTGAAAATTTTAAATTACTTTATCATTTTCATTTTCAAATACGTAAATAAAAGTTAGAAAACTTTTCATCTTAGTTTTCAATACATGAGGAAAAAAAAGGGTTTAAATATGAAAAACATGATTTTTGGTTATTTTGTCTCTTTTATTCTTCTCTTTTCTTGTTTTTGGTTTTAAAATAGGAAAAGCTAATTAAGTGGCTTACATATAAAAGTTTTATGAAATTTCGAAATCTCTTATATATTATATTTCGGTATATACTTATACATTTACAATTTTCATATTCGTAGCCCTTGCTGCTTCTTCATAATTTCTTTGGAACCATTTTGTTTTGAAAGTGGTTTTTAAACTTATATTAACTTTGTTTTTTCACATTGTGTTTTGGATATTTTTATAATTTATTTTTTCCTTTTATTTCTATTTCTCTTTTCTTAAGTAGGAAATAAACAAATTTACGAAAAGTTTTGACGCCCAAAAGTTAATTTAAAAAATCATGCAGAATATTGTTTGCATTAATTTGATTTGTCCTTTTTTTTTTGTCCCTCTTTTTATTTGTGCGCGTCCTTTTCTAAAGTTCACAATTTTTTTTTCGACTATTAGTTAATTTTATTTTTAGTTTATTTTTTTATTTTTACATCTTGTATTTCAGTAGAAAGAGTAGGAGTTAATTAGTTCACAGATTTTTTGTTATATAAAAATAAATAAAAATAAAAAAAAAAGGAAAAATATCCATTACAATAATTGTGGTTGATGATTTGCGTTTTTACATTTTAACTGTATAAAATTATACATAGAAATATTTTTCAGTTAACACTTTTGCTTTTAAATTTTTAAATTATGTATTTGTATTCAAAAAATAAAACCAAACATAACTAATTTAACAAATATTTAACAAATTATTACTGATATATTACATAATTAATAATAACTATCATTTAACAGCACATAACTGACCGCAATATATTTGCCTATACTAGTAAAAGTATTCTAGAATATTATGAAAATACGTTTTAAACACTACTTTACAATTTTAAGGACTCTAATAAGCTTATAGTTAACATACCTAGAAAAATGTGAATTTGACTCTTAGTAGAGTTTCATTTTGTGCCGTCCGAATTGTACGCCTGCTGCTGATAACCAGAAAAAGTTCGCGTACTGATAACCAGAATACAAATATTAAATTTCAAGAAATTCCATCAATTAGTTCTGTAGTCGGCTCCCAGCCGTAGATATGGTAAAAATTGTAAAATCGGCCTCTAGATCAGTTTCCGAGCCCTGACTTCCCCAAAAAAGAATTATATATATCAAGAACATCTTATGTAACCTATGATTTAATTTCAATTTCAGTTATTGTTTTAGTATAAAGTAAAAAAAACCCCTGGTAAAGTATACCAGGGGCTTATACTTTCGCAATATAGAATTTATCTTATAAATCGAAAGAGAACAGCAGAATATAAAGTAGAATATTTTTTTACAGGTATTTTTTTAATGTTGAAGTATTGAGTAGAATATTATTTTTTTAGAATTAGATTAATTTGACCATTTTGACAACAATGCCTAAAGAGAATAACAAACGTCGTGTTTTTTGTATTTTTAATTTGCCTTTCAGTTTTTATTTTACATACTTTATAAACATATACACAATGGTTAATTCAACAATCCTAAATATATGCAATTTTAGACTGTTTATAAATAACAAAAATATATGTATGTACGTCGCTTATTTTTTTGCCTACTACAAAGCACGTTAATGAGGTGAACTATCAGATATGAGATCAAAAATTGTATTAAAAAAATGTTTGTTTTCTATTTCCCTTCATATTTTACATTACGATAACAGCGATTTAAATTTAACAGTCTATTTTAAGACATTTTAGAAAGTCGAAATCGAAATTAAAAACTTTAACATCTTTTAAAATCGTGCCTTTAGAACATACCATATAAAATATTTTAATGTACAATTGATTGTACATTAAAATATTTTATATGGTTTATTTATAAAATATTTCTTTGCATCTATTATTTTATACACGATTAAATTAATTCTGTAATTGTAATTTATTTGAATTTCATTTAAATTTAAACTATAATAAACATAATGTACATATGTAAATATGTATTTATATTATTTAAGATCAATTACCAATAATAATTTTAATTCAATTATACAATAAAATTCAATATGACGTAATAAATTTAAATCCATTCAAATCAAATTATCAAGATTAATTTATTTGCATGTAAATGATACTTTTAATAAACCTATTACTATTAAAAATATTTTGAATATTTGTTTGTATAAAAACATTTAAATTTAATTCCTTTAAAATAACATTATATATTTAGGTATAAGTACCTGATTAAATAATAAATATAGGTATTTGTGCCTGATTGTACGAGAATATTCAGAAATACTATGAATAAAATCCGTATAGAAATTCTAATTACAAAAATATGAAATGTAGAAATGCTAATAGAATTGCATATTCATTTTTTGATTACTGCAAAAAAACAAGTCAAATCTGTATCTACAACGCTATCACTTCGATATAATATATAAGTGCATATACTTTTTAACAAACACATGAATGTGCTCAAGAATACGGAAAAAAACACAAAGTAATTATGTTGATAATTTTGATAATAAAATTTTCTAATCAAAAAAAAAAAAAATTTTATATTTCTATTACGACTAATGAAGTATATTTAAGCACACTTTTAACTACATTATAATATAAAATATGTACATGTATATGTATATATAATATCAATTTTCAATATCTAAAATAAATACTTTACAAGCTGTATGTGGACTTTCAGGTTTCAACAATTGTTCACCATTTACAATAAAATCTTTATAATTAATTTTATAAACTTCTTTCATATTTGATTTTTCCATAACTCTAGCTGAAAAAGCACTTGTACATGTTCTTATCATTAAATTAATATTATTCTGTTTCATAAATTCTACAGTTTTATTAATTAATTCTCCAGCGATTCCAAGACCACGATATTTTGGATTAACAGCAATAGCTTTACCAGCTAAATAAATATTAATATTAGGATATATTTTAAAAATATTATAATTTTTGTCGACATTATCAAAAAGCATGCATAATTTTTTCCATCTTTCATCGATTATTTCTTCCTCTTCCTCATTATTATTTTTTATATCATTTAAATCCTATAATGATAATTTTATTAATATTAAATTATAACAATTAATCATTATAATTTTCTTTTTTTTTTTTTGTTTTGAAAATAATTTTACTTGTCTTCTTTCTATTCCATTAGCTACCGCACCAATTATTTTTCCATTTTCATCAATTGCTTTAAAGCAACAGTTTTCAGATATATTTTTTGTTAAATAAAATTTTAACTCATTTATATCCATAATTCCTAAACTTTTTGTAACTGGTTCATCCTATTCATAATATAATGTTATAATAAAGAAGAAAACATAAGAATAATTTATTGTAATTTTTATTATTAGAATTTTTAAGCTTTAAATCTTAACCTTAATAAAAAATTCTCTCATAACTTCATAAAACTCTTTCTTATCTTCCGGTTTGACTACTTCGATCGTAAATTTTGGCTTTTGGGACATTTTTAATTATAATATGACGGATATACAGTATTAAATTAAAAATCTATTTATTCTTGGTCGAACTATAATACGACTTCTTATTTCGATAAAATCATTTATAATACTAAAAATAAATTCCGGGCGCTTTATCAAAGTTATATATTAATGTCTTATCTAACAGAATTATAAATTTTATATTGAAAAATTTTAAAGACAGCATTTTTATCTATAGAGTGGGTCGTCTTTAAGAGATTTAGATAAAAACTATTTATATATAGTGTGGGATATTTCTAAGTGAAATGCTAGTAAGTATGCAATACATTTAATTCAGAAATCTAAATTTTATTTTTGAATAAACGATATTAACGTTAGAGATTTGTATTCAAATAGACGTATTAGATGTTATAATGTACTATTAATAAAGCTTACTATATATTGTACATGTAAGTTTTTTTACTGAAATTCCGGAAATTTTCGTTTTATGGAAATTATGTTATGGGCAAAATAATAGTAATTAAAATACAATAAACATATGTTATTAAGAATTCAGAAAAATTTCCGATATTATTTTTATTTTATTGATTTTTGAGAGTAAACAAATAAAAATAAATTAACAAAATAGCTCAATAGTCTAAAATTTTAATTGTTCTCAGAAACACACTGCAAAAAATTATTTGTTAACTTTTTATCTTATATCTAGCTCTTGTCATATGTTTTATAATTTATTATTTTGTTCTACAAAAAATATTTTCATTATAAATATACAAAAGCCTATTTGTCAATAATTCATATATCATATATTAATAAATTTTAAAGATAAGAGAATGTAAAATAAATCATTCATAACTATAAAACTTCCTAAATTTCTCCACTTATGCTCTCTAAAATATAAAACTATTTCTGATAAGTGAAATTATATTGTTATACCATTAAATACAAAACGACTTCAATTAATAGAAAATTAGCTTTTTACATTTAATAAATTGAATTTTAAAACTTAAAAGCTGCTTATAATCATGCACTACTTCAATACCAAAACGTTTTGGTAATAAATCAGAACTACAATCAAGCGAAAAGAAACGCTACTAATAACTATTAAAATTAATCTTAAAAGCAAATGTATTTATTCACAACCGATTTTTCTATATTAAATTCAATTAATTTTACTATAAATAAACTTTCTTTTCGTTTAATAATAAACCAATTATTAAGTACGAAATACAAAATTTTGTCAATGACATTGACAATGTTAGATAAGAGTTAAAAATTTTAAGAGCCTAAAATAAACTGATAAGTAATTGAAAAAAAAAATATCGATGCATATTTGAATTTATTGACATTATATAAAATAATTAAAAACAAATAGAAAAACAAATAAAAACAACTTTAATTTTTAACTTCCAAAACGAATACTCTACAACATACATGAGGACTTTCAGGTTTTAACAATTGTTCACCATTTACAATAAAATCTTTATAATTAATTTTATAAACTTCAGTCATATTAAGTTTTTCCATTACTCTCGCTGAATATGCACTAGAACATATTCTTAACATTGGTTCAATATTATTTTCTTTCATAAATTCTATTGTTTTTTTAATTAATTCACCAGCAATTCCTAAACCACGATATTTTGGATTTACTGCAACCGCTTTACCAGCTAAATAAAATTTTGCTTCAGGATATTCCTTAAAGATATTGTAATTTTCAGAAATACGATCAAAAAGCATACAAATTTTTTTCCATCTTTCATCAATTGCCATTTCAGTTGCTGTTTTTATTGGATCATTTTCAGACTGTATCATAAATCAAATATTTATTAAAATTCAATTAGAAGAAAAATTTCAATTATAAATTTCACTTACCGGTCTTTTTTGAACTTCATTTGCTACAACACCAATTATTTTTCCGTTTTCATCGACAGCTTTAAAAGAACACTTTTGTGGTAAACTTTTTTCAAAATATTTTTTTACTTCATCCAAATGTGTAATACCTAAATATTTACAAGTTGGTTCATCCTATAAAATATTTAATAAAAAAAATTAATTTGAAATTTATCAGCTTGGCGTTTATTTGGAATCGCTATATTAGCAAGTATAATGAAAATGTGCCTTCTAAAAAATTATTTAGAATTTTTTAGAAGGCACATTTTCATTATAGAATTTCAAATTTCAAAATGAATTTTACTCAAAAATTTAATTTCAGTGCGTGGACGAAAAATATAACATATAAATAATTTTTTGACATAGTTAAATATAGTTTAAAGTTTAAAATTTTTGAACCATACCTTGACTTCTCTTCTTATCATACAATGAAACTCTATGATAAAACACTCTAACATATCCACGTGTAAACTTATTTAAAAAATATATTTTAACATCAATTGTTCAAAATTCTTAAAAAACTATTTAATATTCTTAAAAAGGTATAATGGGACAGTTTTTAAAAAAATATTTAAAAAAGGATTAAACACACAAAAATTAAAAAATTATTTTTTTTTTTTTACCTTTAAAAAATATTCTTTAATATTTTCATAAAATTCATCAGCATCCTCTTCTTTAACCACTTCAATTGTAAATTTTGGTTTTTCAGACATTTTATTTATTTGTAAATTTTCTTTTGATCCAAAAAGTTTATAGCAATTTAGATTTAATATAAATTTTAAAATAAGTTTTCTAAACACACTCTTGACAAATTCTAAAAAACAACTGAACAATTTTATATTTTGAATAAGAAATTTTTATATGTTTACCAACCAAAACAACATTCTAAAATAATAGATACATGCATATATATGTACATTATATGAAATATCTATAAATATATAGCAATATTTCAGTTATACATACTTTTGTACAAGTTTAAATATACATTAGAAGCACATATGTGCATACATACGTGTTTATAAATTTAGCCACAAAAATTATAATTGAGTAAAATTAAAGAGAGGCTAACAAAAATGAAAACACTTATTATAACAAACTTTAGGATGCTCCCACGAAATATATTAATTAAAAATACAATTCTGTCTTCAAAAATTTTATTAATTGTTTTATTAATTAATAGATCTCCTATAGGTCAAAATGATAAAATTTTTTAAGTATAAATTGTATTTTAAATTATTTTTAATAATGCAAATTTTTTGACAAAAAACAGAACTAATTACTTCATAGAGCTGAACTAATTTTGTTTTTAATTTAAACTGATCAAAATAATAAATTTATTAATTAATAATTGAACAGTTGTTTAAAATTTCCATGATGTACATATATATACAATTCAGTTCCTACCACAAAATTCCTAATTTTTATAACCAATTTTGGTAAACATTGAAACGTTTTAAATATAAAAAAAAATTTATCCAAATTTGTGCATTGTTTGTAAAATCTTCATATCCTCTTATCATACTTTTTGTGTAATTTTTGATTATAAACAAAAATAACTATATATAGTTTAGGTGTTAGTAGCATTACACCCATATCAAAACCAAACCAAGTTTCCAATAAATTTTCCCATTTCATACTTTCTTCTCGTCTTTACGTTACAAAGGGATCGATTAATTCCGAATATCCCCTGCTGACATTATACGTTCATTTTTTTTTATATATACATATGTGTATACATAATAGATTAAAAAAAAATTCGAATCACATCGAAAAGAATAATTAACACTTTCATCGTTTGAGTACATGCATATGTATGGACATACATACATATGTATACACATAGTTTACTTGCTACAGAGAAATGTTAATTACCATTTAGCGACAATTTTGAATTTCTCTAAAATGTACTACATATAAGAAAGCACTTACCTATACATACACATGTATTTATGAATAACAAAATCGAGTTATTTTTTGAAGGTTTGTATAGATACCAATTTGAGTTATTTTTTTATTTATAACGTATATAAAATAAAAATCTACTAATTTTGAAATTAATGAAAGATTTTCACGATCTAACACTGGAAAAAAAAGCTCTATTTGTTAGAATATAATAGCAAATATTATAATTTTTTTGTTTAGAACGTGATAGGACATAGATAATTTACATTTCAATTCAAAAATAATAATAATTAATTACTTATATGAAGATATTACAAATATACTGTATACATGTAATTTCGAAATTTTATTTTCATTCGAAATATCTAACATTTATAACGATTGAAATTGTTTAAATTATAATTTAAATTAAAAGTAATTTTTTATATCCCACTACAGACTTACAAATATAAGTATATACTAAATGAGATATGTATTGCTTTGTGCTTCCACATAGTATGCATGTATATACATAGACCGTTCTATTACGATATTCAATATTGTATCCATAAGAAAAAACCCATATCTGTTTTAAAATTTGACATACTTACCAATAAAATAAAATACGTATTCCTGGTATCCAACTTTTAATAATAAAGTATTACTAAATTTAACTTGTTATACATATTATGTTTTTATTACGTAAATGTTCTTTATATATTTTATACATACATTATAATCAATTCAAAACGGACTTTTCCAAAAATTTAATTGAAAATTATAGTTACAAAAATGCAATGAATATTATTTTATATGTGGTCCCAAAACATAAAAGCTATGCGTTAAAAAACATAAGAATAAAAATAAAATTCTAATACTTTTTTTATTAATAAATAATTCATTGATAAATTAATCATTTCAATTACAAATCAAAACACTTTTGTGCAAAATTAGTATAAATATATAGAATGGATGTTTAGTTATGCCAATATATTTACATAGCTTTTCCAAATTTACCGAAAATATTATGTGCACTCAAAAGTGTGTACCTGACAAAGAAATCGAAAATATGTCTCAAAATTTATTTAATTTTAAGTCAGTTGTGTGCTTCTTCGCTCTTTTTAACCAGGTTATTTCAAAATCCATTTTACCTCTTTTTTATAACTTAATCAATTCATATACAATAGTAATATTTTGAAGGGTCTTGGAATAAACATATAAAATCTTAACACTTATAATCAACCTACGGGTCGTAGAACTCTTGACATCCTACCCTTAATTGAACGTGACGAAAATCTCAAGAGGTTCCAAAACACAAATTAGCTCATTAGTCAATTTATTTCAATTTATCGTACATTTCTTAAATACAAAATACATACTTCTCTACTTGATGTTAGACATATCAGAACAAAATTTAAAAATTATTTTAAACATGTTTTCCTTCGATTTTATTACACTTCCGATAGCATAAAGCCATAAACTATTAATTTGTTTTATTTTACCATTATGTAATGCTGTTTTTTGCCTCCAATAAATTTGTAATATAAAATTTTGATTCCATTATTAAATAAAAACGGTTCAGAGTTACCAACAATGAGACTTATAACATCATATCACTTTAACACTCTTTTTCATAGTTACAAAAGTACTATAGAGGTTATCAATAAATCAAGTCCTTTAGATATATAGTTACTATTTATAAACATGTATAGTAAAACAAAATTTGAGTTCAGCTACCAAATTGAATGTATTTTATTTACTTTCCTTTCATTTTTTTTTGGCTTTATTTTTACATTAGTTTTTGTTTTCTTCTTTTTTTCAAATATTAATATACAATTTTATAATAAATAACACCTTCCAACTAACGGTATTTACTATTTAGAATATTTTGTATTTGTATTTTGTTTTACATAATTACAGTTTAAATATAATGGTACACGATTCTTAATGACTATAAAATTTTATTTCTTTTAGATATTTTAGTGAAGACTAATTCTAAACAAATTAAACAAATAAAAATATTATAATAGCGAAACAAAACATTTTCATTGAAATGGAAACCTTTAGTTCTGTTTAATATTTAATTTCCTAAATTTAAACGTTTTAAATAGAAAGTTCTTAGTGTCTTGTATTTGTGTTAAAAGAAATAAGGTAGAATTCGAATTAAAATTAAAGTTGGAGAAATAAGGGAAAAATTTTATTTGCTGATTAAAGTTTTAAGAAAGTCTCAGTTAAGCTCATTTTAATTCTTGTAGAATTTCTCAGCATGGTTTACCGCTTTTCAATATCATCCACATTAAATGCATCTAAAAAATAAGCTTTGATAAGTTGGTTATTTTAAACTATTAAATAAAATATTAAACAACAAACAGAAATAGCATATATAGATACTAAATACATACATTCAGATTTTCTAATACTGTAACATTTCTAATACACCTTAATTAAGTTACACTTTTTTCCAATTATATTGGCACAGCTATTTTGATAAATTACCAAAAGATAAGTTATTATTCAAAGATTTATAGTTAAAAAATGAAAATCCATGTAAAAGTCAGGGTCATTTTGAAAAGGAAAATATTACATAGCGTTTTTTATTTACATTTGAATCTACATATGTAATTAAGTGTAAATAATTTTCAAATTTTTGAAAATTATTTGATAAGTGGTAACAGCTACACAGTTAAGGTTCCATACATATATGAAACCATAAATTAGTTGATTTTGAATTAGCATTAATACCTCCTACTTCTGTATTCAAATTTTGAAATTTTCTTCGAAATTTAAAACATAAATTTGAAATAATAAATACATATAGTACATGTGCATTAAAATTATACTTTCTACATATGTAAAGATATTCTGACTTTTAGTGAAAATTAGAAATTATAGAATTATGTACATATATATATATAAATCCTTGTTGATTCTGTAAATATATATGCATATGCATATATATGCAAAATATATGCATATTTATGTGTCTTTATATCTTTTATATTATTACATCAACCATCCCTTTTATTAATTTCTTGCTTATTTACCTATCAAAAGAAAAGAAATGTAATAGATAACTTACTACTTTTTCCATCGCAGGCTACAATTTTAACTTTATCAACCTTCGCAAATTCATGTACTTCACGAAATTCAACATCATTTAGCATCAGAGTCCAAACATTATCACAAAATCTGTATGTATTCAATTTGCTAGCCTTGAAAGTAACTCTTGCTTTAACGCGCTGTGATAGGGCTGTATTAATACACTTATCAAACTGCAACAAAACTCTAATTGCAAGAGCTGGGGTAATTTGTCCATACTAAAACAGAAATTAAACCAATAATTTCTTCTTTGTTAATTTTTGAATAAATCTTTTACAAATTAAAGTTTGTAATGCAACAAGTTGAGCCAATTCCTATTCCTAACCGGATCTAAATTTACTCACCTGAATTAATTCATCTAAACTTTCTTGCAAAGTATTCCCCAGAGTTGTATTTCTATATAATTGATAAGACATTTTTAAAAAAAATTATCCAAATAAGATAAATTCAGTTTTTAAATTAAATATTTACGACAATTATTTTTTTTAAACTTTTTTCTTTTATCAGCGCAAAATGCAGACAACATAAAACTCAAAAAAAAATATATTTGTTTTGACAGTTAAATTTTTTCAAAATTAGCATTGCCAAGCTATAGAAATAAATGGCTAAATTAATCTGACAAAACCATTGATTTCTTCAAAATTTGTGTTATTCTGCACAATTTCAATTTCTTAATAAAACTTGACAAACACAAACGGAAAATATTTTTAAATACTTTAAGTTCCTAAGAAAATACAAGTATTATAATGTTAGAGATCCAGAAACAGAAAAGTTTTTATCACATAAAATCGTGAAAAAAAGTCGGGTAAACACGCGTTTGCTGTGAGAGTTTGTGAAACGTCAAAAATTGAAAGGTAAAAGAAATTTGATTAATAAATCAATTTGATATAAGTTTTCACTTTGTAATTTACAGATAAGTTTTGGAATTTACAAATAATTACTATAGATGATTAATTTTCAATTATTTCAACAAAAAAAAACAATAACAAAATAAAGGTTACTCACATAAGACAGCAGGTATAGAAATTAAAAAAAAAAATTAAGCAAGCACATATAATTGCATATTTTCTGTTTTATTGGCATCGAAAATAATATATCACGTCGGTTATAAAATTTAAAAAACTTTAAAAAGAAAAAAATGTGACGTCGCTCTTGTTGCAAACGAAAAAAAAACTCCATTTAAAAAAAAATATAAACAAGTTTTTTGAATAACACAACCTTTTGACATAACCAAGAAATGCATATATTTTGACAGCTTTGTGGTTAAAATTTTTTAAAAACTATTAATTTTACTTTACAAGCCTTGTAAAAATTTTAAACATTCAGAAAAAGTCAGGCCAGGTAGACATGCAATTTTTAAAATTAAGAAGCTAAATTATTGCGTCAATTGAAATCGAATGCTTTAATTAGTAAAAAATTACAAACTGTTTGATTGCTTAATTGCATGCGATCATACAGTTGCATGTGTGCGTGCTTAAATCTGTGGAATACAATTCAAATAAGTAATAAAACAGTTGCAAAACGGTTGCACCCTTGTACTAAACGCTTTGCATTCTAAAAGTTTATATAGTTTTTTCAATTTTTTATAAACTTGATTAGTTGCTTAGACAATCAAGCAGTAATTGCAAAACTAAAAATTGATGTCTATCTGTTCCCTAAGAACTAACTTTCATAAGTTCATGAATTTTCTTTTTGAAAGTTTGCTCTTTTTAAAACTGCTAAAATAAGAAAATGTGAATCAAAAATACGTCACGTCTGTTTAAAGCGATAATAGCGAATGTTAAAGTTGTATTTATTTTAGAGTATGGCATGTTATACTTTAATCATTTATATATTCTATAATAAATCTATTTCTATAAAGCTTACTTTTCAGAACTTAAAAAAGTTTTTCCACAATATTTTTGGCATAATCTGCGTGTTATTCAATTCTTATTCTTGATGTATGTACATAATATTCAGCATTACTATTCTTTTCCATCTAGTAACGAATTTTTTAATGATGTATTTTCATTTTACAGTTTTTACCGCCATCTGTTAAGTTATTATTACAAAATTTTTGTTGTCCTAAGTCTGGTAATATAAAAATTAATTTTATTATCGAGCTTTTTTCACTATATTATATTTAAATTACAACACTGCCACAACAGAGTCTTATTCACAAGTTTAAAAAAAAAACTTACATAAGTATGTATTTAGGAATTACTATTAAATCATGTGGTAATATCAATATCCCTGGCTTCCATATTTTGAATACGCAGAAAAAAGCAGAGAGCGTCTCGAAAAATTTCTCGATGCTTTTTATAAATTTTATTTAAGCAGTACTGCCACTGAATGTAAAATTTATTAAAATTTTTCTATTTGTTAAATATTTAACAAATGTGGTAAATGTTATTTCTGTACCGCCTCAAACTGAATTTTTAGGTTAAATGTGAAGTAAAGCTGACAATACTGATTGAAACAGAATATTGGGAGTAAAATTGGTATTAAACGTCAGGTTTAATAAAATAAGAACAGCTGTTTATGAATAAATAAAAATAACAAGCTCAAGTTTAAAGGCGGCTTCAAGATTATTTTTTTTACAATATGAAAGTCACCATATTTTGCGGGAATTAATTAGTAGTTCCTGTTTTAATTTCTACGTACAAATATATTTCACATTCATCAAAATTTAAAGATTTTTAATAGCTGCTGTCAAAAGCCACTCGTTAACGAAGTGTTTCTTAAGGCCGTGCTTTAGTTAAAAACATTTAAATTAACATTAAATTAGCACTGAAAAAGATCATACTAGCATATAAACGTCTGACCGTTTAATATCAAATTCGTTATTATTATCATAAAAACTCGCGAAGTTTATATTTAAGATGATAGGAGCTTAAAAATATTTTATGTAAATATCAGCATTTTAATATGTATATACATACATATGTATGTATATAGTTTTATTGAAAAAAAACAACAAAAATCTACTTTTAATTAATTGGAAAACTGCTTTAATTTAGTAAAATACGGAAGGACACTGAAATTACGTTTTTTCTATACAAATTGTTAATTAATTTTTACAAAAGTCATGTTGTCGGTATACATATGTACATATTACGTACATATTCATATGTATCACGGCTGACAGAAATACAGGCCTGGACCCTAAGAGAGAGTGACAGTTCACAGCTGACGAATTGACACGTTGACGTATGTATTCTTATGGGATCTATACAGTACCCATAAGATCTATAGATAATAGAATCTAATAAGAATATCTCCTAAACTCTTATTCTATCTTACTCTGACCAAGAACACCGAGGACAATGAATTGATTACATTATGTATCAGAATATTATACATAACAAATCCAAATCACTCTCGACTATAATGTATACGTATGCATATGTACATACAAGTTATGTACATACATACATATGTATGTAACTATTTGAAAACATTTTTGAAAGAACTATGTACATAAACTACAAGGAATACAATTGTTATCAGTAATTTTATATTTTTCGAACATTTTGGGAGAGTTAAGAGTTGATATTGTAATTTGTTATTTATTTATATTACGTTGAATTTTTTTATGTTTAAAATATTTTTTTCCATTAAGCGGAAAGCAGTAGCGTCGAATTTGTTATTAATTTTTGCAATGCGTAATCCACATGAGTTGGCATTGCATCGTAATAAAAATAAGCTACATAATTTGAATCTAATTGGTTCGAAATTTATTTTATTTTAAGCAATCAATATTGCATATTTGAGTTCAAGTTGTAAAACTAATATGTTCGATCAATATTTCAGTGTATTCAACATAAAAACTAAAAATTATTTTCGTAAAATATTTCTTTTTAAATAACAACTTTTAAGAAAAAATTATAATAAACCAAAAATTTTTACATAGTTAATTAGCATTCATCGATTTGGATCTCTCAATTTGAAAAACAAATAAAATATTACGCAAATTTGTCACAAATAACAGATCGGTTAATATTGAAATGTAAAGTCCAGGGTCAGACTTTTATAAAATTCTTTTTTGTCTTCCTGCACAAATTATGGGTTTTATGAATTTTTTAAGTTTTGATTTCAGTGAAGTTTTTCTTCAAATTTTTGGTCTATATGAACTTTTTCCTATTTATTTTATAATTTCAAACTGCAATCAGTTCTAAAGAACTTTAGATTCATTATATTTTTGTTTTTCCCGGGAAATTTTTGGAGATTATAAGATTGTGCAGGATTATGTTTTGAACATTAAATATAAGATATAATTTTGAAAAATTAAAATAGCTTTACGCCTTATTTTTCACTAAAATATGTATGTATAAATTTAAATTTTAATGAGAAATTCATATTTTCCTAAAAATTGTGATTGCAATATACTATTATCGTTTTTTTTTTTATAAAATTACTTTAAATAATAAAATGACATGATTGGACCCTGTTTCACTATAAAAACAAACAAATTCTTTATTTTAACACTTTTGAGGGTTCATACAAAAAAAATGTCACTCCTTTATTAGGAGAAAATTCTGCCGTATAAATTAATACAAATTTTAAAATAAAATATTTAATTTTAATTTATTTTCGTTCCAGTGTATTACTTTTTTACCATACTTTTGTTTTTTTTTTTATCTAATTTTAAAAAAAAGTCTTTGTATAAAAAAATTAGTAAGTATATGATAAAAAATTACAATCTACTATCATTTATAAAAACTTCCAAAATTGACTATTTCTTCCGAAAATATTATGTGATGTCATGATAAAATGGACGAGTTTATTTTCTTCAAAATTAAAAAATTAGTATATTGCAGCTGGAATATATAATTATATGTCTGTTTGTAATATAAGAAGAAGTATATGTATGTAGTTTATATAAGAATATAATACTTACCTTGTGTTAATTTAATTAAAATTAATTTTAGCTTTGCGTTTTAAAATATTTTTGTAAAACATGAATTTTAATAAACTGTTAATATAATATTAGAGTGCATGCTGGCACTCTAATATTTGTAACAATACCATAATTCTTTTCTTTCTTTATTTTGATACCAAGTTTTTCTTAACTTTCCCTAGTCCCTAGTTTGTCTATTTGTTTCAAATACTGTTACTCAATTATACATCACTTTTAAATGTCCAATCTTTCCCAAATATTGTACACACTATTGTATTTCAATTATCCCTTATTAATAAGATCCGATACTATAAGAGCGCTGAAATTAATTTTTAGAATATATGTATATATGGATGTAATTGGTGAAAGCGAGAGCGACTGGAAGTGCGGTATAGAGGGCGAAAACGATGGAGAGACGGAATTAGGGGAAGATGAAATGTAGAGACTGGAGTGAAATAAATTGAGAGATTGATACTATTCTAATTATTTTCAAATAAAGCTAAATAGAAGAAAAAAATATTGCAAAATAAAAAAATTTAAAAATCTACGATTTTCTATTGGACTACATAAAAAAAACAATATTTTCCATTGGCAGACTTGAACTGCAATACGTATGCACTATACTATGAAGTCGGAAGCTTGAATT